TGGCAAAATCTGGCGGAAGTGACCTGTGGTCCAGCAAAACACCTGTAAATACCGCGCTAAAGCAGGGGCTAGGGATTTCACACATCTGCTGGCAAAATCTGGCGGAAGTGACCCGTGGTCCAGCAAAACACCTGTAAATACCGCATGAAAACAAGGGCTAGGGATTTCACACATCTGCTGGCAAAATCTGCCGGAAGTGACCTGTGGTCCAGCAAAACACCTGTAAATACCGCGTGAAAACAAGGACTAGGGATTTCACACATCTGCTGGCAAAATCTGGCGGAAGTGACCTGTGCTCCAGCAAAACACCTGTAAATACCGCATGAAAACAAGGGCTAGGGATTTCACACATCTGCTGGCAAAATCTGGCGGAAGTGACCTGTGGTCCAGCAAAACACCTGTAAATACCGCGTGAAAACAAGGGCTAGGGACTTCACACATCTGCTGGCAAAGTCTGGCGGAAGTGACCTGTGGTCCAGCAAAACACCTGTAAATACCGCGTGAAAACAAGGACTAGGGATTTCACACATCTGCTGGCAAAATCTGGCGGAAGTGACCTGTGGTCCAGCAAAACACCTGTAAATACCGCGCTAAAACAGGGGCTAGGGATTTCACACATCTGCTGGCAAAATCTGGCGGAAGTGACCTGTGGTCCAGCAAAACACCTGTCAGTACCGCATGAAAACAAGGGCTAGGGATTTCACACATCTGCTGGCAAAATCTGGCGGAAGTGACCTGTGGTCCAGAAAAACACCTGTAACTCAGATCCGAAAACCATAGATCGCAAGGGGTGTCACCCTAAGGGTTTTTGTAATAAATATGTTTCAAAAACACGAATCGCAAGGGGTGTCCCCCTAACTAAGGTTGTGTAAGAACTCCATTACTAGCATCACAGATCGCAATGAGTGTCCCCCCAAAGGTTTTTTCAACAATAGGTTCCAAAATCAAATCGCAAGGGGTGTCGCCGGGGGCTGGGTGGGCTGGGCAGGGCTGCTAGGCTGGGGTCGGAGGCTGGAACCTAGGGCCAAGAGGCAGGAGCCGGGCGGGGGCTGGGCTGCTGGGCTGAGCCGGCTGACGTCTGGGGCCGGGGGCGGGGACTGGGGCTGGGCCTGGGACAGGGGTACGGCTGGAGGCTGGAGCTGGGCGGGGGGGCTGGGGCTGAGCCGGAGGCTTGGGCCGGACTGGGCTGGATGGAGGAGCTCTGAAAAAGGCAGGGGCCCAGGAGGGGCGGGGCTGGGGCTGAGCCGGTGGGCCGGGCTGGGGCTGGGGCCCGGGATTTAAATTTTTTAAATTCTGTAAATTCTTTAAATTCTTTAAAAATTAATTCCGGAGTGGGCCGGGGCTGGGCTGGGGCCCCGGGATTTAAATTTTTAAAATTCTTTCAATTCTTTAAATTCTTTAAAAATTAATTCCGGAGTGGGCCGGGGCTGGGGCTGGGGCCCGGGATTTAAATTTTTTAAATTCTTGAAATTCTTTAAATTCTTTAAAAATTAATTCCGGAGTGGGCCGGGGCTGGGGCTGGGGCCCAGGATTTAAGTTTTTTAAATTCTTTAAATTCTTTAAAAATTAATTCCGGAGTGGGCTGGGGCTGGGGCCCGGGATTTAAATTTTTTAAATTCTTTAAATTCTTTAAATTCTTTAAAAATTAATTCCGGAGTGGGCCGGGGCTGGGGCTGGGGCCCGGGATTCAAATTTTTTAAATTCTTTAAATTCTTTAAAAATTAATTCCGGCCGATTTAATTTTTAAAGAATTTAAAGAATTTTTCCTTTTCAAATTTTTTAAATTCTTTAAAATTTAATTCCGGCCGATTTAATTTTGAAAGAATTTAAGGAATTTAAAAAATGTATTTCGTGCTGGGTTGGGGTGGGCCGGGGCTGGGGCTGGGACCCGGGATTTAAATTTTTTAAATTCTCTAAATTCTTTAAATTCTTTAAAATTTAATTCCGGCCGATTTAATTTTTAAAGAATTTAAAGATTTTTTCTTTTTAAAATTCTTTAAATTCTTTAAAATTTAATTCCGGCCGATTTAATTTTTAAAGAATTTTTCGTTTTTAAATTTTTTAAATTCTTTAAAATTTAATTCCGGCCGATTTAATTTTTAAAGAATTTTTCGTTTTTAAATTTTTTAAATTCTTTAAAATTTAATTCCGGCCGATTTAATTTTTAAAGAATTTAAGGAATTTAAAAAATTTATTTCGTGCTGGGTTGGGGTGGGCCGGGGCTGGGGCTGGGGCCCGGGATTTAAATTTTTTAAATTCTTTAAATTCTTTAAATTCTTTCAAATTTAATTACGGCCGATTTAATTTTTAAAGAATTTAAAGAATTTTTCTTTTATAAATTTTTTAAATTCTTTAAAATTTAATTCCGGCCGATTTAATTTTGAAAGAATTTAAGGAATTTAAAAAATTTATTTCGTGCTGGGTTGGGGTGGGCCGGGGCTGGGGCTGGGGCCCGGGATTTAAATTTTTTAAATTCTTTAAATTCTTTAAATTCTTTAAAATTTAATTACGGCCGATTTAATTTTTAAAGAATTTAAAATTTTTTTCTTTTTTGAATTTTTTAAATTCTTTAAAATTTAATTCCGTCCGATTTAATTTTTAAAGAATGTAAATTTTTTTTCTTTTTTGAATTTTTTAAATTCTTTAAAATTTAATTCCGGCCGATTTAATTTTTAAAGAATTTAAGGAATTTAAAAAAATTATTTCGTGCTGGGTTGGGGTGGGCCGGGGCTGGGGCTGGGACCCGGGATTTAAATTTTTTAAATTCTTTAAATTCTTTAAAATTTCATTCCGGCCGATTTAATTTTTAAAGAATTTAAAGATTTTTTCTTTTTAAAATTTTTTAAATTCTTTAAAATTTAATTCCGGCCGATTTAATTTTTAAAGAATTTTTTGTTTTTAAATTTTCTAAATTCTTTAAAATTTAATTCCGGCCGATTTAATTTTTAAAGAATTTTCCGTTTTTAAATTTTTTAAATTCTTTAAAATTTAATTCCGGCCGATTTAATTTTTAAAGAATTTAAGGAATTTAAAAAATTTATTTCGTGCTGGGTTGGGGTGGGCCGGGGCTGGGGCTGGGGCCCGGGATTTAAATTTTTTAAATTCTTTAAATTCTTTAAAATTTAATTCCGGCCGATTTAATTTTTAAAGAATTTAAAGATTTTTTCTTTTTTAAATTTTTTAAATTCTTTAAAATTTAATTCCGGCCGATTTAATTTTGAAAGAATTTAAGGAATTTAAAAAATTTATTTCGTGCTGGGTTGGGGTGGGCCGGGGCTGGGGCTGGGGCCCGGGATTTAAATTTTTTGAATCTTTTAAATTCTTTAAATTCTTTAAATTCTTTAAAATTTAATTCCGGCCGATTTAATTTTTAAAGAATTTAAAGAATTTTTCCTTTTCAAATTTTTTAAATTCTTTAAAATTTAATTCCGGCCGATTTAATTTTTAAAGAATTTAAGGAATTTAAAAAATTTATTTCGTGCTGGGTTGGGGTGGGCCGGGGCTGGGGCTGGGACCCGGGATTAAAATTTTTTAAATTCTCTAAATTCTTTAAATTCTTTAAAATTTCATTCCGGCCGATTTAATTTTTAAAGAATTTAAAGATTTTTTCTTTTTAAAATTCTTTAAATTCTTTAAAATTTCATTCCGGCCGATTTAATTTTTAAAGAATTTTTCGTTTTTAAATTTTCTAAATTCTTTAAAATTTAATTCCGGCCGATTTAATTTTTAAAGAATTTTTCGTTTTTAAATTTTTTAAATTCTTTAAAATTTAATTCCGGCCGATTTAATTTTTAAAGAATTTAAGGAATTTAAAAAATTTATTTCGTGCTGGGTTGGGGTGGGCCGGGGCTGGGGCTGGGCCCGGGATTTAATTGATACACAGAGCAGAGGCCCGCGCCAAATAGACCCTAAAGGTCCTACGTACAAACCCCTAAACCCTAAACCCTTTTCTCATGTGGTTCTGGACAGTCTGAAGAAGCTCAGTGAGTTGGGCAACAAGTCATCCGCGAATGTGAAGCTCGGTGCGTTGGACGAGAAGGGATCGGTGATGGTGGAGAAGCTCGGCGAGGCCGGTGAGGCGGCTAAGCGTCAAAAGGTCGAGGACACCGTCGAGCCAACAGTCAGCGACCCCGCCCCGTGAAGGCTGTCTGAACCAGGGTGAGCCATTGATTGCATCGACTCTCAAATCATGGTTAAGCGGGTGGTTAGAGTGAGTTTGACTTCACTTGAGCAAGACATCAAGAGTGAGCCGTTGCATCGATACTCCAAGCCCCCAATCCCTGAACCCTCCCTGACCCTCCAACTTAAAGCGGACCCCTGGCATATCATCCTTTGCCTTTGTCTTGAGTCTTCGGCTTCAGGTTGCGTTTTGTTGGAGAATGGATGCTTCTGTGCTAAGCTCTAGACCTTAAACCCCAAACCCCCAAGACTTGCCTCCGTTTCTCAGAGTGCAGGCCTATCGTGGGAACTAATATAGGGGGCAGAATAATAGATAATGTTTACTTGCTGCCCGCATAACACCAAGGGGCTTACAGTCAAGGATATCATGGAGATTGCTATAAGTGGTCCATGAACTGTTTTTGGGGGCACGCCGTTGCTGCATATGATGACAGTTGACGAGCTGTCGAATTTGGTGGTCAGCGCCCTAAAGCTGCCACGAAAGGTTAGAAACTCACCATAGACCTACGGCGCCAGAAGAAGCTTTGTAAGTCCTTCAGCACAACCTAAAGTTGAACACCTCAAGCTTGGATGTAGGGTCTAGGGGTAAGAGTATGAAAGCTGGTTAAGACGCACCTCAACCCCAAAACACGTACCTTCTTAGGAACTCTATACAGAAAGCTTCCGAAAGTGTAGATTTCTTAGCAGCCAGAGAGGGTCTCGAACTAAACTAGGCAGGCCTTTGGGATATTTCATGTTTTCCCTTATTGGGCTTGATAGGACCCTATTTACGAATCTTTTTCAGAGGCTTCAAAGGGCCAACCTAGTAAAAGCTTCGGGAGGCCGCTGAGAAGCGAAGAGAGGAGCTGAAGAAGGAGCGTGCGGAGCGTCGCCCTGCTTTTGAAGTGGCCGTGGATTTGGGTTCAGGTTACCGCGGTTTCGTGGTTCGATGTCAATTTTGGCATGGTCTTGTGTCGTTGTTTTTGTGAACAGTGGTTTAGAGCTCTCCTGTGTGGTTTCAGCATTCAGGGTCTGGCATTCGGGTATAGTTTTCTCGTCGACCTACTGCTGCTTCTGCTCCTCTTACTACGACGACCACCACTACAACCACCACTTCCACCACTTCGGCTACTACTACTATACTAGTACTAGTACGAGTACGAGTACTAGTACTATACGACGACGACGACTACTACTACGACTACGACTACGACTACGACTACTACTACTACTACTACCACCACTATTATTATTACTATCATTTTTTCGACGACGACGACGACTGCGACCACGCGTGACTGTCGATCGGCGACTGATGACTGACGACTGACGACAGCTACTACTACCCGGAGAACCGGCAATGAGATCACTTCAGGGTTTAGGGTTTAGGGGGAGGTGGGGTAGGGGGCCTGAATACCTATAATCAGGACTTAATAAGGCCTATCTACTCGCATTTATGTTAGACCGTGTGCGTGTCTGTCTGTCTGTCTGCGGCGTGTTGTACGGATGGCAATGTACCGAACCAGAAAGGAGCTCGCCCTAAATCCTAAACGCTGCTCCCCGCCTGTAGGATTCCTGACGGGTTGATGCTGCCAGACAGAAAAGAGCCCCTTGTAACACCCGAAGAATGAACCATCCTGAAGCGTAAACCCTACACCCAAAACAGTCCCTAAACCTCAAAGCCCCAAGAAATCCCAAAGCTTCGTAATCAGGTGATGCGCGCATCCGGGAGAGGGAGGCTGAACGTGCGAGGGAGGCAGCGGAGAAGGCCTATTCTATCGACCAAACCGGTTTAGGGTTTAGGGTTCAGGGCCTTAGTGATTAGAGTAGGGTTTCGGGGGTCACAATACCATAATTACAATAAGGAGCCCCAAAATAGTACAGGAAATTTTAAAAAATCTATATTAACCCCTACTTGGAGGGTCGGAGGACTCAGCAATTAGTAAGTAGATATCAAGTAGTACAGTTATACGTACCCTAAAAAGCGATCCTAATTGGGTTACGATTTTTACAACTCTACAAAGTAACTACTTACTAAGTCCCTCGACCCTGCAAGTACTGTAATCCCAAGACCCTAAACACCTCAAGCACCAAGGCCTAAACGCCCGAAGGCTTCCACTCCTAAACCCCACCTCCCAAGAAGCCGTAAACCAAACTCTTAAACCCTAAACCCCTAACCCCTAAACCCTAAACCCTAAACCCCAAACCCTAAACCCTAAACCCCAAACCCCAAACCCCGGTCTCCACAGGAGACTCAGACTCTGCAGACGGAAAAGGGCCCTTAAAAAAAAAGAAAACCAAACCCCAAACCCTAGCTCGACACCCACCCACAATCCCGGACCCGCAGTCCTCAACCCCGAATCCTAAGCTCTCAGTCCTAAGCCCACGCAATAAGCTCCCATGTAGGTAGTTCTCTCAATTCGGGCTCCTTTTTGGGTCACCAGACTAGTACGGCACCCTAAAAAACCAGACCCTGAAAGGGAAGCAAATTTAGAGAACGACCCATATCATTTAGAATCTTCATGTATCCCTTTTTCAGAACCTCGCAAAAAATTTCAAGTGAGCCCCAAACCCCTTAGGAAGGTTTCCCAAAACCCCAACCCCTAAGCCCCAAGCCCCAAACCTTGAACCCCTTAACCCCAAACCCTAAAGCCTAAACCGCTTAACTCTTCAATTCGAGCAAAAGTATCTGAGCTGAGACTCGATTTTGGCCATGGCTGAGCATGGGTTCACGGACGTCTGGCAGAATGCCCTCAACCAGACGGCTTGGCTTTTGGAGCACCACAGGGTGTTCATCGAGGACATCGCGGGAGACGACATGATCATGACCTCTGTCGGGACGACGAGCATGGTCTTCAGGCAGCAGCTTGCGAAGCTCTTCATGCGCAAGGGGGCAAAGGAGGAGAAGGGCAGGGAGGAGGTCAGCGCCCTCCTCCTCCTTGTCATTGCGTGTGGGATTACCAAGAAGAAGAGGAGGCTCAAGCAGGTTTTGTCTGCCGCTCACAATGCGGGCAAGAATGGGGCGGGCGGTCTCGATCGCCGACAAGTTGGCCGAGAGAACCATGGAGAAGACCAGCTCGGTCTTGCCAGCCATACCAGGAATCGCCTCGGCATTCCCCGAAGTGGTCATCCATATGCCAGAGCATCCATGCCCTACGCGGACGACTGCGTCCAGCACCAGGGGTACTGGATCGTGCCCCAGCTGGCTACGAGTGAGTTCGTGCAGCTGAACTGGGACATGGCTGCGCAGGCGATGATCAAGGCCTATGCACTAGTTGGTCCTCATCCAGGCTCTACCTACTAGGTATTCCGACTGTAGCAGCGAGGAAAAGGGCCCTCAAAAAAAAACGCTTAACTCTCAATCTTAAACCCCGAAGCCCCAAGCTCTAAACCTTAGATGCCTTAACCCCAAACCCCAAACCCCTTAACCCCTGAACCCTAAACCCCAAACCTCTACACCCCAAACCTCTAAACCCATAAACCCCAAACCCCCAAACCCTTAAACTCCTAAACCCTAAACCCTAAACCCTAAACCCCAAAACCTCTAAAACCCTAAACCCAAGCCCCTCGACCCCAAACCAAAAAACTTCGGCAGGTATCATCAGGCGTCTATACCCTTAAGCCCAAAACCCACAACATAGGTCCTTCTTAAGGTACCTTAGTCAACCTAAACCCCAAACCCTCAACCCTAAACCCCAAACCCCAAAACCCTAAACCTTAAACCCTAAATCCTCAATCCCTTGACCCCAAACCCACCTCTGTAGCTGCCAATGAGAGGCCGCCGAGGACGAGGATCTCGACTTCGAGGTCACCAAGGGGGGGCAGCTGTTTGTAGGGTTTAGGGTTTTAGGTTTAGGGGTTTTGGGGTTTAGGGTTTTAAGACGGTGTAGTGGTTCAGGGTTTTAGAGGTTTAGGGTCTAGGGGTTTTGGGTTTTAGGGGTTTAGGGTTTTAGGGTTTAGGGGTTCAGGGGTTTAGGGGTTTAGGGGCTTAGGGGCTTAGGGGTTTAGGGTCAAGGGCCAAAGGGTTTAGGGTTCAGGGGTTTAGGGGTTTAGGGGTTTAGGGGTTTAGGGTTCTAGATTTAGAGGTTTAGGGTTTAGGGCTTTAGGGTTTAGGGGTTTTAGGTTTAGGGGTTTAGGGGTGTAGGGTTTAGGGTCAAGGGGTTTGGGGTTTAGGGTTTAGGGTCAAGGGGTTTAGGGTTTAGGGTCAAGGGGTTCAGGGTTTAGGGTTTAGGAGGGGCATGAGGGCTTTCAAAGGGTTCTGTCAAAGTGGCTTAGGGTCGTGATATAGGGTATGAGTTTTTTTTTATTTTAATTTTTGGGTTCTGGTTTCGGTGTTTTTTCAGGGTGTAGCTTCGCACCGGAGCAGCCGTTCTCCGACGTTGAAGCCGGGTGAATTTTCAAAGTTCAGGGTTTGCATCTTGGGGTTCATAAGGTTCGTGTTCTGTTAACCGTGCACTACTGGGGTCTGGAATTAGTGTTCCTCCAAGCACATGTCGGGGTTAAGCAGCCTCATCGGCCAGTAGCACAGGTCCCCAGAGAGACCAATACCCTTAATTAAGGAATATAGCTTAAACCATTAGGGTCTTCATATCATGGTTGAAGCCATATTCCTTACTTAAGCAGTATGGGGCTCTCTGGGTTTCGGTTTGGACAATTATGTTCTGCAAACCCGAAGCCCTCATGTTGGCTGCAGAGCAAGATGCCCCGCCAGGAACCTGTTGTTGTCTCGGGATTGGCAGTTCAGTGGTTTGTTCAGGCATTAGGCGTTCGGGCGTTCATTGGTTGAGGCGCCGAGGCACCGAATTTGTGCCGAGGATGGGTTTGAAGTGACTGGAGTGGGGTTTAGTGTGCACACAGAAGACGAGGTGTGATCCCAGCCATAGACGCTTGTGCAGTTTTCCCACCAAGTCCTGCTTTGTTTCCTACTGGTAACCTTATTCGTCGTATTGCCTGCTCTTCCCGTCATTCTGGACACTGTTTGCTTGGTCTCATATGATCGCGCTTCTTACTCTTCATGACTATGGTGCTAGTTGCACAGTCATTCCAGGTTCTAGTTCCAACAACTCTGAACCTCAAACTTTAAGCCCAAAACTAAGCCTAATGTAGGAACCTGATGAAGAAGCCCTGGGCCTATAACCCCGAAATAGTAGGCTTCATATAAGGAACCCTAACAAAGGCCCAAGGTTTCTTAATCAGGTTCCTACATTAAGCCCTAAACCTAAACCCTAAACCTTAAGCCCTAAACCCTAAACCCTAAACCCTAAACCCTAAACCCTAAACCCTATAACCCTATAGATCCCTTTAAAGGAGCCCCACACTGCAGGTAAGCCCCAAGCCCTAAACCCTAAACCCTAAAAAGCCCTACACTCTAAGCTTCGCAGCCTGGCCCGGCGACCTCTTAAAGACTTTTTTGGGGAGTTTCCGAGAATGGGTAACCCGAATTTAGTACCCTACATAGTAGGATCCTTATGAGTAGGACCCAAAACAAGGTAGCCGAATTTTCTGAAACTCCCTGTTAAGCCTCTACAACCCTTGGTAACATCTCTGTAAATCCCGATAAAGTCGTTACAGAACCCGTAAAGCATTACACACAGCATCCTCAGCTGAATATCGGTATAAGACCAAGTAGCATATTACCATAAAAGCTCTACTCATCACCTAAACCCTTAACCCTTAACCCTAAACCCTAAACCCTAAATCCTAAGTTGAAGCCGCGTGAATTGCAGGACGACGAGGAAGTCGATGTCGACTCGGAGGAAGTCGGAGACGATCCCTGAGGATGCGCCGTAACAGTTCTTTGCAGAGTTCTGTTACATAAAGGTACCTTTTGTAGGGTTTAAGACTTAAGGTTTTGGATTTTTCGGGCTAAGGGTTTCGGGTTCTAGAATACTGGCTCTTCATGAAAGGACCTGTATTATTATAGGACCCTGAAGCATTCTATTCTATTGGGCTTTCTTTTCCGGTTTTAGGGTTTGGGTTGGGGGGTTTTAGGTCTGCATGGGGGGTCTAAGGCCTCGTTCCTTGCTTTTTGGTAGGCATCCAGGGTTTAGGGTTTAGGGTTCAGGGTTTAGGGGTTTAGGGTTTACGGTGCCGGCTTCTTTCGGTCAGATTTGTATTGGAGGATTGCAAAGCTACAGGTTTCTGGGGCTTTGGTTTTCGGAGACTTGCATGTTGGCTTGCAGGCTTTTTGGGACTCTTAGGAAGTATTTTTTTTTGGGGTTTCGGGCCGCATTCCGTCGTTTGCTTTCATGAGTGGTCAGGGTGGAGGGTCAGGGGTCTGGGTTTCAGGGTTTCGCTTTGAGAGTTGCCGGGAAACGGAATGCCAGCTTAGAACCCCAGATAACCCCCCCTAAACCCTAAACCCTAAACCCTAAACCTTAACCCTAAACCCTAAGCCTTAAACCTTAAACCCTAAACCCTAAACCCTAAGCCTCCAAGTCAGACCCGGAACTCGAATCCGGAGAAGGGCAAGGGAAGAGCCTCGAAGGAGGGCAGGGATGCGACGGCCACCCGGTCCGATCCCGAAGAGGGCAAAGAAAGGGTCTTCGGGTCATCGACTTCTGGAGGAAACGATGGTTGGGAGAACTCTGCATGGCAAGATTCGTCCTGGTCTTCTCAGGGAAACCATGGCTGGGCAAGATTGGTCCTGGTCTTCCCAAGGACACGATGACTGGGAGAAGTCGACACGGCAAGATTCGTCGTGGTCGTCATGGAACGCACGACCAATGCGTCGTGTGCCAGATGGGGGAGAGGAAAGCCCAACGAAAAAGCAGAAGGAGATCTCAGCTTCTTGGCAGCGGATTCCCGTGGTCGTTGGGATCGAAAGTCCAAGGAGGCACCGTGGCCAGTGAAGTCGTCCGATTCAGGAGTGTAGCCGAGTCATCTCCGTTCCGGTATACTGGAAGGCTTTACCCAGAGACTCCAATATCACTTAATTAAGGAAGATTCCTTAAATCATATTAGGGATCCTATTAGAATTTAAGGACTATTCCTGTATAGATCCCTGAAAGATCCTTTTAGGGATCCCTTTAATGATTCTTTTAAGGATACCTTCAAAGGAACCCTACTTGTCTAAGGGATATTGGAGTCTCCTAAACCTTAACCCCCACAGATCCCTGATAGAATCCCATTGAAGGAACCCTGAGGAATCCCATTAAAGGAACCCTATAGACCCCCTTAAAGGAACCCTATAGACCCCCTTGAAGGAACCCTACAGATCCCTTTCAAGGAACTCTAGGTATTCCTGAATTCAGGGATATTGTAATACCTTGAAGAAACCCTGAGCCCAAACCCTAAACCCCAAACCCTAAACCCTTAAGGTATAACCCTAAAATTCTATGTAGGGCCTTTCTGTAAGGGTCCATGTACTCATATGGTATATAATACGTTGGCCTTAATGTAGTCCGTATATAGGTACTTTGGGGCTCATGTATCTCTATACGGGTACATGGACCCTTAGGGTTTACAAATCCCTGATAGTTCTGGGTGTCTTCCCTCACCGTTCTGACGAGACGCCCGACCGGGGGCTCGGTCGGAGCCTCGAGCTCCGCAAAACTTGTGGTTATCTTTAAAGGGCTCTATCAAGGTTTAGGGTTTCGGTCGGCGGCGCTCTCGGCAGTTTAGGGGTTGAGGGGTTTAGGGTTTGAGGGTTTAGGGGTTAAGGGTTTGGGGGTTTAAACACTAAATCCTAAAATCAAAACCCTACGTCCTAAACTTTGGATTTTGCATTCTGCCGGCAGGACAGGATTTTGCCTCGTCTCCTGACGACCGAGTGTCCAGAGACTCCAAAACCCCTGGTCAAGAATGTACATGGCATGAAAGGATTTTATATGGTCTTTCGAAGGTATACGATGACGTTTTAATTTCGTCATTCAAACCCGAAACCCCAAATTGAAGGGGCTTTGGATCCTAAACCCTAAGCCCCCTATGCCCTACATCAAGGGGTTTTGGAGTCTCGGGGCGCGTCATAGTTAACAGATTACCTGCTGGGTTTCCTTCTAACGAAGCAGCCCGGCCGCGGATGCCAAAGGGTCGGAAGAAGTCGGTTGAGCGTTTTATGGCTTTGGGTTTCGGGTTTCGGCCTGAGAGTTCATACACACACAAACACACGCGTATGTCACTTATCGTATCCCTAAACCCTATTCCCTGAACCCTCAACTCCAAACACTAAACCCTAAACCCTAACACCCTAAACCCTAAACCCCTAAAGCCCTCAACCCTCAAACCCTAAACCCTCAACCCTAAACCCTCAACCCTAAACTGAAACCCTCAACCCTAAACCCCTAAGCCCTCAACCCATAACCCTAAGCCCGTTGGATGTGACGCTCGGGTCGCATCTCTCCATGCTTACAAAGCCTGCCGAGCCTCACATCCGAAACCTCCGGGCTCTGAGGGCTTGTAGTTTATACTCTATAGTAATATATACCGGTATATTATAATAGTAGTATATAGTAATATATACCAATAAATAATGCTGGTATATGTAATCTATTGCAATCTAAAATACTAGTATATAGTAATATATACCAATATAATGTATTCGGATATGTGTAATATCTACCAATATAAAATACCAGTATATAGTAATATATACCAATATCTATTTCTTGTACATAGTAATGTAAACTATTATATAAGAATTTGGGGTTAGGTTTCAGCTGGAGGGGGCTCAGCGGCTAGTTTTGGGGGCTTAGGGGCGTAGGGACTTGGGGGTTTTGGGTTTTGTGGGTTTAGAGGTTTAGCGGTTTACCCCTATCTGAAGGCCGAAAAGCACCAAACTCGCTGGGCCCCTCCCTAAACCCTAAACCCTAAACCCTAAACCCTCAACCCTAAACCCTAAACCCTCAACCCTAAACCCTAAACCCTAAACCCTAAACCCTCAACCCTAAACCCTAAACCCTAAACCCTAAACCCTAAACCCTCAACCCTAAACCCTAAACCCTCAACCCTAAACCCTAAACCCTAAACCCCTCAACCCTAAACCCCTAAAGCCCGAAGGCCCCTAAAGCTGCTTGAAGAAGAAAAGTCCAGACTGGAGGGGCATTTTCTCAGTTCCGCCTGAAAGCCTGGTCAGCCGTTCAGCGTTTAGGGCTTTGGACTTGGGGTTTAGAGCTTAGTGGCTTAGGGTAGGGTTCAGGGTTTCGAGTTTAGGACTTGGGGTCTAGAGTTTAGTGGTTTAGGGTTGGGGCTTGAGGCCTTAAGCCCTCTATCCAAAAGCTCTGACACCTCAAGCCTTAAATCCTGAAGCCGAAGCCTTAAATCCTAATTCCCCAACTCTGAAAATCAAGGCTTCCGGTTCTGGGGTGTTAGTGTCTATGTCGCTTCGCGGCTTATGTTGTTTTAGGTGTCAGGGTTTTTGTCCAAGGGTACAAGGAGGGACCCTTAATAAGGACCCCTAGGTATATACCCTTAATACAGCTATTATATACCCATTATATAGCCCATTATAGGGTAGGGGTCCCCATTAAGGGTCCCTCCTTTTCCCCTTTGATTTTGTGTTTCTGCGGTTTTGGATTTCAGGTGAAGGATCACGGTCGGGCAGTTGAGGGTCTCGGGTTCTAGGGTTTAGGCTTTAAGGTTTAGGGTTTAGGTAAGGGTCCCTTTAAAGGGATGTACAGGGATTCTCTAAGGGTATAGGGTCTCGGGTTCTAATGGAGGTTCATGGGTAGTTATAAGTAGGGCTTATAAGGGGTTAAAGTTTCCTTAAATGGATCTATAGGGTTTAGGGTTTAGGGATTAGGGCTTAGGGTAGTTATAAGTGGGGTGTATAAGTAGGTGACTATACTTATGACCCATATTAGGGGACTTATAACTCCACTTATAACTACCCATGAACCTCCAATTAGGGTTATAGGCTTTAGGGTTGCAGGTTCAGGGTTATTGAGCCTGAGCTGGAGTATCCAAGAATAGACTTTGAGGCAGGTGCGCGGTGTTCAGGACCTAGAACTTGTGGCAACGTGGCTCGTCTTCATTCAAGAAGCTAAGAGGGTGGGATGAGAAATGGCAGCATGAACCAAATAAGATTCATGAACAGAGGAAGCCGCATCCTGCTTACCTTCATCCCACTTGCCCCTTTTGACTTCTGGTTGGAAAGACAGGTTGCTGGGGACTTAGTAAGTAGTTATTTTATGGAATTATAAGTATCGTGACCCCAATTAGGATCCCATTTAGGGTACTTCGAACTCTACTTATTACCTACTTACTAAGTCCCTCTAACCCTAAACCCCAAACCCTCAACCTACTTCTTACCTACTTACCAAGTCCTCCGACCCTCCAAGTAACCCACAGGAACACTTCAGGCTGAGGTGGTTGATTGTTTCGGACCCAAAAGGGGTTCAGGATGCCAAGAGTTCGAATTGAATAATATAGGGGCCTCAATAATTGCCTATACTATTTTGGGATTCCTTATTGTATTTACAGTATACTGGGCCCCAACACCTAACTTTATTTATTCAGGCCCTTATAATATTTGTGGTTCAAGGTTCAGCGCTGATGGTTCAGGACGCAACAAGTAAGTTGGTGGGTTCACGGTTTAAGTTCACAGTCTCTGGCAGAAGGCCGAACTGCGAGATCAGCTCCGTCACGCCTTTGCCTTAACGGGCTTGGCCATAAGTTGCAGATGACCTCCCCACGGTCTCATCTCATGTGAAGCAAGACACCACAGCCCGAACCCCAAACCCTGAAGCCCCAGCACTGAAACCTACGTTCCATGTCCAGGGCCACCCCAAACCCTAAACCCGAAACATGAAACCCAAACCCTACATCCAAACCCGGAACT